TTCTTCAGTATGTGTGTCAAGCTCTTCTTCAGTATGTGTGTCAAGCTCTTCTTCAGTATGTGTGTCAAGCTCTTCTTCAGTATGTGTGTCAAGCTCTTCTTCAGTTGAGATAAGATATGGTTCAATTTTATTGCTGAGCCTATCATTTTCCTCGGGAGCTTGATGTCTAAAAGCACCATTGATCAAAGTATCCTTTATATTATCATCACCATTGCCATTTTGAATCCCAGTTTTTTCGATAGGTGCTGCTTTGATAATACTATTTGAGGGAAAAAAATCAGACCCATTCGCGAAAACAGTTCCAGTCACATGTTGTGAGTCGAGTATTTTTTCTGGCTCGATGTCGTGTATTTTCTTCTCTAAAATGGGCCCCTTATCTTCATTATTTGACGCCCAAGAGCAGGCGTATATATCCAAAGCATCCCAAAACTCCTCCTCGCTATCACTATAAGATATCTTATCATTGTGGTCGAGATTCATGGAAATCAAAGATGGCTCTTGGATATGATCCATTTGGGAGACTTCAATGCTACTATTGCAACTATTTACACAACTTGCTGCTTGACCAGAATAAAAGTTAGCCACATTTTTCTGGGTGTTTATAGGTGAATCATTGTAAATGGAAGTGTCACACAGGAGGCTTGAGTCCATATCTAATGAGATGCGTTTATGTAGACGAAAAGGCTCGGTTTCACCATTAAAAGGGAGAAGTGGAAAACCGTTAATCGAAATATCTTTAACGGTGGGTGTGGAAAATAATGGATTTGCGTTGAATGGCCTCCTATCGTCTGAACCATTTTCTATTACTGCTCTTGATGTAGATGTTGAACCCAATAAAGCCTCCCTGTCTCCAAAAACATTGGAAGTGCCACTATAGACAGAGTATTGCTCCCTCCATGAGGGTTTTTGCCGTTGAAGATGCTTTGGTAATGACGAATGTACAGCCCGCATCAAAATAAATCTATTTAAATACCTCCTAATGATAGATGGGTCTTTTTCCAAGAGGGGAAGTTTGAAAAACGAGCTTGAGACAAAAAAAGAGTACGCCTCCACAGGGGAATCGCAAATATCAAGAAGAAAAAATAACAAAAAATCATGGCTTTTTTCTGAGGGAAACAATATGCATGCATAATACTCCACCAGTGGCCTATCGGCGGCTAAGAGATTACAAAAAGGGGCAGACAGCTTTATCAAAAGCTCTCGCTTTTTGGAGACATTCAGAAGCTCATGGATTTGATGCAAAATCATTTGCTTTCTATGGCAATCCATGCAGAAGAAAACCAAGCAATGCAATGAAGTTGAATTTACAATTAAATTTTTAATTAGTAAATCGAATGGACCCTACCGTACTCATAGTGGTTGGTATGGCCGGCTCTGGAAAGACCACATTTACGCAGCGTCTCTATTCCCATGCGTCATACATACAGAAGAGAACACCGTTTGTTATTAATCTAGATCCTGCCGTTTTGGAAGTGCCCTTTCCTTGTGACGTTGACATCAGAGATACGCTCGAATATAAGGATGTAATGGAGAGGTAAATGGTGGCTTTTAAAGTTAGATTTCAATTGGGACCAAATGGAGCCATTCTTACATCGCTGAACTTGTTTAGTGCCCGTTTTGATCTTGTTCTTGAGCAGCTGGCTTCCCTGTCCACTGCTTCTACTCAGGTAGAGAAAAACAATCCGATCAAAGGAGACGTGGCGATTGAGGAACACAAGGCTGTTGATGGAGGCGATGCCATCGAAAAAAATCACTTTGAAGACGATGGTAGCGGCTATGAAAATCCTCGGCATGTTTCGTTGGCCATTGTAGACACGCCTGGACAAATTGAAGTGTTTACTTGGTCTGCCTCTGGAACTATTATTACCGAGTCTATTGCTGCTAACCACCCCACTGTCCTTGTATATGTTGTTGATACTCCCCGTTGCGTCTCAAATCCGGCCACTTTTATGTCCAATATGCTCTACGCCTGCTCAATACTGTACAAAACCCGTCTCCCTCTTTTGGTTGTCCTCAACAAAACAGACGAGCAGTCCGATGCCCCCATCCGGGAATGGATGTTAGACTATGAAGCCTTTCAGGATGCCCTTCGTCATCCCTCAAATGTGGAACGGTCCTCGGACTCATTTATGAATTCGATGCTCCATTCCATGAGCTTGGTTCTTGAGGAATTCTATTCTACGTTAAATGTAAGCTACACATTTCAAAATACCCTCTTGCTTTTGCATTAAAAATTCTAACGCTCAGGTAATTGGATTGTCCTCGTATTCGGGGGATGGTTTTGACGGGTTTATGGATGCCGTGGATAGAGCTAAAGAGGAGTATTTTTCTGGATACCGGAGCATACTTGATGCGAGAAAGGCCGAGCAGCAGGTATGCTTAACGCGTTACAAGTAGCAGGCCAAAGAAGGCTTTCGAATTTCCGCGGACATGGCCAAACTAAGACTCGACATGGAGAACAAATAAACATCGGCTAACTTATCATTCACGTTGCGGACGATTTGGTATTTAGGGTTAGGGCCATTTTAGTAAATATGTCGTTGAATATTTTATAATTTTTGCGGACTCTTGAATTTATTATTAGCTAATCAATCGCATGTCTAAAAAGCGGAAAATCGAGCAGGCTCTAAAACGCCCTTGGTGTTGGTTTTGCGAGCGGGATTTTGATGACGAAAAGGTTCTAATCCTACATCAAAAAGCAAAACACTTCAAATGCCCAACGTGCCACCGTAAGCTGAACACAGCCCAGGGAATGTTTGTGCATATGGCACAGGTGCATAAAGAGACTATCACAAAGTTTGGCTTGAAATCCTTTTTTTAGGGTACCAAATGCAATTCCGGGCCGGGATAGGGGCGACGTTGAGGTTTTTGGAATGGAGGGGATTCCGCTTGATGACTTTCTTGGCCATTACAAGGAATCGCCAGAAATTGTAGAGCAAATAAAAAGACACGTCGAAGAGAGCTCTTCTCTCCTTTTGTCAAGTGGAGGGTCAACATCTGGGGCAAGCGGTTCGCCTCCGTCAAGTGAGTCTATTCATGTGCCCTCAATGCAAAGTATTAATTCCAGTAGTGGTCTGCAACATTCACTTTCTGCATCTTCTTTACCGCCTAATGTATTGCCACCATCTATTCCTTCAGTCTCCGCATTATTACCGCAGTTTCAAATGGCACCCATGATGCCTCAAATGGCTCATCCGATGTTTGGACACATTCCCCATAACATTTTTGCTTCACCTCAACAGCATGGGGGTATATTTATGCCACCCCCTCAACCTCCATTTTACATGAACAATTTGGCTCAAGGAAACGCCCACCCGATCCCACAGATTCCCTCTTTATTTCCATCGCTACCCTTACCGCCACCTCCTCCTCCGCCTCCAATTCAAGGTTCTTTTTCGGTTCCACCTCCACAAACTCCACAACTTTCAATCCCACCATTACATTCTTCTGCGATGGGGATTCCTCCGGGAAAGCATCCTTCTGTCGGCACGCCTTTGCCTCAAATCCGGCCTGTAATTTCTCCTCTTATGAATGCTGTTGGATTAGAGGTAAATCAGAATGTTTCTAACGCTTTTAATGATATTTGTCCAAAGATCTCTACCGATTCAAGTGTCATTGCTTGCGCTATTCCTGAAAAAGGTATCTCTATCGACACTAATAGCTCATCTAACGCTCTTCACTTGACGAAGCAGCCCACTGTCCCTACAAAGCCATCATTCATTCTTTATGATCCAGTGACAATTGAGAGCGTAGAGGAGCGAAGGGCCAAACTCCAAAAGTACAAAGCCCGCTCGTAATATTTTGTATATTTTCCGTATTATAAAATAATAAAATAAACCCCACTGCCAAATTGGAAACTGGCACTGCAACCCAGGCCAGGCCAGGCCAATTATGTATTAAATTCCACTTTAAATTTTCGGGATCAAATTCACGAGTATTAGATGTTTCCAAATCAACATCTTATTATCAGGGCGCATATTGATTCTGATGAAAAAATGATCCCTGTAACTAACCATATTCTGGAACTCTGAATGATTGGGATTATTCATTCATTATCGCACATCTTTTTGCTAAGGTAAATGCGCAAAGAGGTAATTCTAGTAAGTTTACCTTATAGAGAGCAAATAGAGCCAAAAGTGTCGTTCCAGCAGATCCGGCTCGGGATGCACGTCGTCGAGGTCTTAGCCGTTGGGATGGCAGGACCGTGGAGGACGAAAGCTATTATGATAAAAATGGAGTCCCTTCTTCCTTGAAGCCGCCAGACATGCTTTCTGATCGCAAAAGAGCCTCCTTTTCTGTATGGCGCCTTTTCAGCCGCATGTTGACCTGCTTGATCCCTTCATGCTGCCTTTCTAAATGCGGAGGCCTGCGAGACCAAGGGATGCAACAAGCCTGGCGTGAAAAGGTTGCCTTGTGTATGCTGATATTTTTTGGGTGTCTTGCCCTTGGTTTTTTACAATTTGGGTTCACCACTTTTGTGTGTAGACCCCCTGCATTTATATACAAGCATTCCGAGGTAAAGACCAAGACGAGTGGAAAAAATAGATGGTTCATCATTAGAGGTTTCCATTATTTGATTCTTAATTTTAGGAACCATTTACAATGTGCCCTTCAAATATAACCCCTACTCTCATTCCGACGTCCCTTATGATGTGTATTCAACATTTGCGGGGTCTGACGTTTCTCCATTTTTCCCACCACATCCCTCCTCAGCGTGCGCTGCAGCCGGGATAGTCTCTGGGGGCTTGGAGTGTACCGTTAAAGGTAGTGAAGTTACCTTTTGCCACAGCCCTTCAATAATTTCCAAAATGGATAGGGTTGGCACGGTCACATGGAATTGGAACGAGATCGAGGCCTCTGATTATCTCATTGCATACAACGGGCTTGTTTTGGACGTTAGTTCGTACCTCGACCAAATACCTATCTCCTCTCCAACACCGTATGGGAAAAAAATCGATTCGATCTTTCGATCTTCTGTTGGTGGTGACGCAACCAAGGCCATATCCACCCTGTCTCGTGATGAAATACAATGCCTTTTGGATGAGTTTGGTGCAGGCACCGTTGACGTAAAATCGGTTGGCTGTATTTTGACTGACGTGATCCTATATTTATCGCTTGTTGCTATTCTTGCCGTGATTTTTGTCAAATTTATTTTGGCCGTCACTTGGACATGTTGCATGTCCAAAAAGTTCTCTTCCAAGGGTTTGGAGCGGGTCATCAAAAAAGAGTCGAAAAAGCCATTTCATATGGACGACAATTCAAATCTCGATCGACCCCTATCATACGATATGGTCGGTGGTCGCAAGGTTAGTTCGAGATACATTTCCACCAGCAACAATAACTCTGATTTGATGATTTCCGACGGAACCTCTTATATGGGCAACACTCATCACAATAAAGCAATGTCTTCTCAAGTTTTTAATGACAACGACCCGACTTTAGCTACTGCGGGAGAATTATTTTCCAACCCTGAGTTTTCCTTTTCAACCTCACTCAATAGCCAGTCAAGCTTGCGAAATGGCCGAAAACTTCCATCCGAGATTGTCACCGATATTGGATCGCTACAATCAACCATTGAGGGCTATGACCAAAACTGTGGCTCGACCATTACCGGCGCCGAAGATTCGAATAACACTTGTACCATCAGCATTCCCTTTGAAACAAATCCACATCCTATTGGCGGTTCCTTTGATGATAATCCGATGTATTCAATTCTAGTGGTCACATGTTACTCTGAAGAGGAAACTGGTCTTCGCACGACCATCGAATCTTTGCTCGAATCTGACATCCATGACTCTCATAAGCTTCTTTTTGTCGTTGCAGATGGTCTAATTACGGGGTCCGGTAATGATCGGTCCACTCCCCAAATTCTTGTTGAAATGATGGACGTTGACCAAAAATCAGGAGGAATCGGCCCCTCCGGGATTCCTTGGAGCTTTTTTGCTTCAAACTTAAAAAATGCAGAAGAATGTCTGCCGCTGGAGGAGCCTCTAGATGAGCAGTTTGCAGCTGCTCGCAAGGTTAGAAATCTCACTTTTACGCATACATATAGCCGTTGAGTACGAAAAAAGGTGAACAGCCAATGATACCTGGCACCACAGATTGGATGCCCGAGGCTTTTTCCTATGTGGCAATTGCTGATGGAGAAAAAAGGCACAATATGGCGCGGATTTATGGAGGGCATTTTTGCTCAAATGGGCACCGTGTTCCGGCCGTTGTTGTTGTCAAATGTGGCACCCCCAACGAGGCTACTCAACCTAAGCCTGGAAATAGAGGAAAGCGAGATTCTCAAATTCTGCTTATGAACTTCCTAAGCAAAGTTCTTTTTGGCGACAGAATGACGCCTCTTGAGTATGATCTGTATAGAAAAATCCGATACCTGACGCACATCACTGCTGACAAGTATGAAGCTGCTCTTTGTGTGGATGCCGATACCAAGGTACCATATTGACGCTCATGTGATTACCATAGGTTGAGCCTGATGCACTTAGGAACATGCTTTCCGTACTTAGACTCGATCCCACCGTCATGGGTTTATGCGGCGAAACCAGAATTGCCAACAAAGGAGCTTCCTGGGTCACTGCAATCCAAGTTTTTGAATATTTTATCTCGCATCATTTGAACAAATCCTTCGAAAGTGTATTTGGTGTCGTTACCTGCTTGCCTGGCTGTTTTTGCATGTATAGAATCAAAGCCCCTAAGGGGCTTCCCGGGTGCTATGTCCCCATTCTCGCATCTCCCGACATTATTGATTCTTATGCAGAAAATGTAACCGATACGCTCCATAAGGTAGGCCGCCAACTTTTAATGTTCTCACAGAAAAACTTGCTTCTTCTGGGTGAAGATCGATACTTGACTACACTTATGTTAAAGACATTTCCCAAACGCAAGATGCTTTTTATTCCAAAAGCCAAATGTCGTACTCAAGTTCCAGATACTTTTAGTGTATTGCTCTCCCAAAGGAGGCGATGGATCAACTCTACTGTGCATAATTTATTTGAATTGGTTCTGGTAAACGATCTTTGTGGGACTTTTTGCTGTTCCATGCAATTTATCATCTTCATGGAGCTTTTGGGAACCCTTGTCCTGCCAGCGGCCATAGTGTTTACGGGCGTTCTGATCACGACAAGTATCATCGGAGATCTTCAGTACATTCCTCTTGGGCTTTTGATAGCCATTCTCGGCTTGCCTGCCTTCTTGATTTTTTTTACTCGTTCATCTCTTATTTATGCCTGGTACATGCTTTGCTACCTGATTGCCCTGCCTATTTGGAACTTTGTATTACCGGTGTATGCATACTGGCATTTCGATGATTTTTCGTGGGGTGAAACTCGTAAAATAGAATCCGCTACAAAGGATAAAGCTCATGGAGACAAGGAGGGTGTCTTCGATTCATCCCAAATATTCATGAGGCGCCTCGAGGAATATGAGGCCGAAATTGCGACTTCTGTTGTAAACTTTTGCAGCTCATCTGGAAAGGGGCTTGCCTCCCTTGAAATTCTGCACCAAGAATATCTTGTTGATAGGCTTGAGGATGGTTTTGAAGGGGAAGACTTTTCTTCCAAAGTATCATCCCTCTCTGTTGGTTAAATAAATCGTTTGACTCGGCCATTTAATTTGGCGTTTGTCGTCCAGAACTGAGCTAGCCATCCACCAAAGGGTGTGTTGGTTTAAAAAATAATTTACCGCAAAAAGTGGGTGCAACTTTTGTTGGTGATTGTTTCAGACACCAACTTTAAAAATTGAAAATTAACGTTGGATTTTCAAATGGACACCACTGACGAAAAACCAAACAACGGTGAGGAGGGATCCTTTTTAACATCCCTCATCAAGCGCCTCGAGTCAGCTACAAGCAAAATCGAGTCAATTATTTTATCTAATCCCAGCTATTCGCCTCGACCTGCAGCCTCTTCTCATGACCATGAAAGCAATTCCTATTTGACCCAATTTATGGGGGATTACCTCAAAAAATGCAATGAGATCCATCCGATTGTTGAGTCGCAAGCTCTTCTGCTAAAAGAAGGCATCCTTGAAACCCTTCAATCAAAGCCCCCAAATGAGCAGAAGGTTTCAGAGTATATATCGAAGATACAGTCGTCCAAAGATCGACGTGAGTTCGATCCCATATTGAAAGTTGTCGCAGAACTGTCTCCTGTCCTTGGGTGGCCATGGGTACTTTATTTTGATGCTGATCATGACTTTAGGCTTCATTTCCCGACATGTTCACTACGCTCTTCAAAGGCGCAAAGGAGGCCAGCGAATTTTACCGAAACAAGCTTTATACTTGCGTGAAAAACGAACAAATTCCAGGGTTCTTTTGTTTACTAATACTCGTTAGGGTTAAGTACGAGTCGATTGAATCGTGGGCCACTTCTTTGTTTGAATTAATTGATGCTGTGAAAAAAGTTGCATTTGACAGAATGAATGGAACAGCAGCGGTAGGATCATGTCCTCCTTGCGAACGCTCCACTTCTACCGGTAAAGCCTTGCAACAGACAGCGCAGCTTTCTTCACAAAAGCCGAGTAAAGAGAATCCCAAGCAAAAAGGGTGTGATGGACCTTCACCGCTAATCGAGTTGCGTGGAGACTCGAAATGGATTATCGAGGGGCAGATTGGATCGAATATTTCCCTTCCACAGAAGGTTGAATCGAAGCACTCGATTTATGTTTTCAAATGCAAGGACGCTGTGCTTTCGCTTGAATCTTCCAAATTTACGACGGCCTCTATTGACCAGTGCGAAGGTTTTGGATTCGTCGTTGGCAGGGTGATTTCTGGAATTGAAATAGTCCGCTCAAAGGGGCTTCAAATTCAGGTGCTTGGATTTTGCCCCACCATCAGCATTGATTCTTCGGAGAGTATTCAAATTTACCTGTCAAAGGAATGCATCGGAGAAAACACACAGGTCATCACCTCCAATTCATCGTCCGTCAATATTCTCTTCCAGTCTCCGGCAGAAAACGAGGAAGATGCCGAGTGGATTGAAAAGCCAGTTCCCGAGCAATTTGTCTCTGTCGTCAACAAGGATGGCCTTTATATTGCAACAACCCCCCAAGGCCACATTTGACCCATAAATTGCCCAACCAGAAGATGGAGTTCAGAATAAAACATATTTTTATTGATGTGATGCTGGCAGCTCCTTGAGATGCAGACTAACGTTGGAGATTTGGATTATTGTAGGACCCAATTCTGGTGAGATGGCTAGCGGCATTGTGATACTCCTCCTCAGTGCCCTCCGAAAGGATCCTTTCAATCACAAGATGGATGTCCAAGCTGGCTTCTTCGCCAAATGCATTTGAGAGCATCTGCTTGGAGGGACGAATCCACTCGCCAGTATGTCCCTGTGATTCGCAGCAAAAGACCTCCATATTCTGGACAACTTGAATGACGGGGATGGAGCGATCGTTTAGCCACTTTGCGCGTTCGCCCTTATGGCAGACCAAAAAAAATTGTCGCTTGTGATGCAGCTCTGATGGATCTCTCCACAAACAAAGCGTAGACATTTTCAAAAATCGGCTAGCCGTGGTTTATATGGAATTCATTTACAGATCGGTGCTATCACGATTCCCAATGGTCCATCACTTGTCAAATCAAATTCACGGCAAACAACGTAATCATGAAATTTAATTTTACAACACAATGTCAAAATGGCAATTTAAAGTTCAAGTTCAATTTAAAATGGGATGCCTCTTAAAAGCAGGGAGTACACAATAACTCGGCTGTAAAGATCGAACGACTCTGTAAATAGCACCTTCAACTCTGATATCGGGGTCTGGCCAGCGGGAATTTGAAAGGTCTGGTTTTCAGTACAATTAGCAACATTGGGAAAGTTTATGACAAAGGCCTCGGTCCCATCAAAACAGCCAGTGAGTGACATACTTTTGGGCGCAAATCCACCCTGGAACAGGAATTCTATTTCTGATAATTGGATACGCGTGGAGAAACGAACTAAAACCCATTGTAAAGCCCCCTAAAGATAGAGTACGATAGGCACCAATACCCCATCTGAGGCCCAGCAGCTTTCTGGGTGGTCATAGTCGAACATGTGGTTCTTGCCAAAAAGCGAAGGGCTTTTATCTTTGACAGATGAGACCCTGGAGAAAATTAAGCATCAACATTTTCATTTTACCGAACGTTTGAAATAAAAGGTTTCAAGTCGATCATTGCGAGATGCAGATCGGGATTCGGCACGCGGATGGAGCTGTTTTAGTTGCGCTTGTAAAAGTGTTAATTTTATTCGCTAAACTTTTTAAATGGCCTTTGGGACTACGCCTCCCTCACATGAAGATAGCCCGCTGCAGGAGCTCGTCCGCATGGTCACTCGCATGTTCTACGAGCCCAAGCATGTGGTTCTCGTTGATTTGTTGACTCAGTCACAAATGTATGCTTTGGCTACTTTTTAATTTTGTCTACAGGATTAGGGACGATATTCTCAGCATTAGATCTCGTATACCCATTAAAGAGGTGAACCGGATTATTGCAAAGCTCAAGCAGGACCGTCTTGTATGTGTGTATGTTTTGATGTTGCTTATCTTTTAGCGAGTCAAGAACGGAACAAGAGAGCATGGCTAAAAGCGGCGGAGTTGGCGAGAGGAATATTTCTCGCTACTATTACTATATTGATTACGCGCTTTTTGTAAACGTCGTCAAGTTAAAGCTTCACAAGATACGTCAGAAATTGGAAAATTCGCTCCAGATTCAAGAAGCGAACTATTTTTGCTCGTCTTGTGACGGCAAATGGAGCCTTTTGGAAACACAGATGCTTTTCAACCCAGAATCGGCGCTATTTGTATGTCCTCATTGCAGCGTCGAATTGGAGGCCATCCTCAATTCTTTAAATACCACATTGTCAAACGATAGTTCGCTCTCATCTCAGTATCATAAATTTATGGAGATGCAAGCCCCCATTGTAGCTCTTCTTAAAAGGGCAGATAAGCTTGTAATCAGTTCTGTTGATGTGCAGGCCCTAATCAAGCGAGCTATAGTCAATTCAAACGAAGAGGCTTCCATAAATACGACAGATCTTGTCCATGCCCCTGATAGACCCTCCTCACCCCTTATCCCCGTGGAAAAGGGGAATCAGAAAGAAGAGCTATCCAATAGTATTGAGGTCGACATTGTCAAATCTTCTTTTTCGTCTTTGTCAAGTTATTTGAAACCATATTCAAAGGTGCAGGTACCGGTTCCTGTGCCGGGATTTACTCCAGTTTCTGGGGAAAAGCAAGCAGACCGATCTTTAGAAGAGTCTTCACCATTTGTGGAGGAAAATTTTTTTATGGAGGTCCAGGGGCGGGAAATTGCTATCAATGAAATTTCAGAAGAAGATCTTTCTTTGATGACTCCTGAAGAGTATGAGTTTTATTACAATGCCCTTCAAAAAAAGGCTTAGGTGTCCTGTACATATGGTCCAATAAATACCGCTTTTAATGATTGCAACAAAATTTGGTGTATGTGCGCCCTAGCTGGTACATTAAATGTGTGCCTTCAAATGCGCAAAGTTAGCTCATTATGACCGGTATTTGGTTTCTCAATTGCTAGCACATGCAAGTTTGATGGTGGCGCATCTTTAAAGTGTACACATTCTTTCTGCAGTTGGCGGCTCCGAATAAATTGCACATTTGGTGCAGATGCAAGCATCATTTAGGGTTTCATATATTCCAGAAAATTGCCACAATTTAATGCCTCTAAAAGTAGCGCAAAGGACTTCCTCCTTCAGATGCATTGCGCCATGCTCCTTGTCTTGTTCTTTTTTTTCTTCCTTCAAAAGATCTGGTTTGGAAGTTTTACCATCGCCACGAAAGACTCCGCTCTCTGCCTTACCTGGCTCCAAGTGGAGTCCGCTTACTTTATCTTCAATTGAATCTCCTTTGGTTGAGTTAAGCGAAGATCAAACGGAGGTTATTTTTGAAACCCTTAGATTAATATTTAGCTTGTCGAAGCAATTAGGGCATTTGTAGATAGGGAAATAATTCCTATTGCTGCTGATATTGATCGCACCAATACATTTCCGAAGGCATTGAGAATTTTTAACGGCCCATTAGCATCTCTGGCTGAAGTTTGGGCAGCTCGGGATCCTTGGGGTCACAGCCTCACAGGAATATGGGGGTTTAGGGCTTGGATACCTTGAACATGTTTTGGTCATGGAAGAGGTTTCTCGAGGAAGTGGATCAATTGGTCTCTCCTATGCAGCCCATTCAAATCTTTGTGTCAATCAAATTGTCCTTAATGGGAGCGCGTCTCAGAAGAGCCGTTATTTATCAAAGGTATTTTAGCTGGCGATGGTTCAGCTTTTAGTTGATCTCGGGCGAGTCTGTGGGGGCTCTTGCCATGAGCGAACCCAATTCTGGATCAGATGTTCTTTCGATGAAGCTATCGGCCACGGCCACCGAAGGAGGATATTTGTTGAATGGAACTAAAATGTGGATTACGAATGGCCCGATTGCAGACATTCTTATCGTTTATGCTCGCATGAACGACTCAAAGAGAATCACAGCATTTGTTGTAGACAAATGTGCCCCTGGGTTTTCCACTGGACCAGCTCTAGACAAGCTGGGGATGCGGGGATCGCCAACTTCGGAAATAATATTTTCAAATTGCTTTGTCCCCGGTAAGATTTCATATTTTCATCATCAAAACCATTGCAGAGTCCAATGTACTTGGTGGTATCGGAAACGGTGCTTATGTGCTTATGAGCGGACTTGATTACGAGCGGTGTGTCCTTGCTGCTGGACCCCTTGGGTAACTCTGGCCCTATTTTGCTAATGCCCCTGCTAGCTTGATGCAAAACGCCCTCGAAAATGCTATTCCCTACACTTCAATTAGAGAACAATTCGGATCTCGAATTTGCGACTTTGAGGTTAGTATGATTGCATTTCTCTTTCTCCTTAGCTAGTACAAGGTTCGTTGGTGGTTGTTGCAATTAAGGAAAAATTGCCGATGCATATGCAAAATTATCGGCCTCAAGAGCATATCTTTATGGCGTAGCCAAGGCTTGTGATAGGGGTGTCCGTAGCAATAGGGACTGCGCGGGTGTGATCCTTTATGCTGCAGAGAGAGCCACTGAGGTCGCTTTGGATGCTATTCAGCTTCTCGGCGGAAACGGATACACCAACGACTATCCCGTTGGAAGGATATTAAGAGATGCTAAGCTGTATGAGATTGGTGCAGGCACTAGCGAAATCAGACGAATGTTGATTGGCAGAGAGTTTGGGAAGATGTTTCCAGAGGCAGAAAAATGAGAACCCTAGAAAGTAGCAAGTATTCCGTAATAAAGGGGCCGAGGACATTCGCACTTTGCACCAAAGGGGTCTAGGATACTAACCCTTGCAATACAAATCCCTGACAGGGTCTTTGTAGCTTTGGCTAGTTGAAAAATAAAATCCCATAAGCAAAAATAAACTAAAATCAAATCCTATAAATTAAAATTAACTGCAATGTGCTTGAAGTACTTCTGTAGAAGACGGCTCCGTGGCAAATTGTGGGTGGACAATGTGGTGTGCCTCAAGGCAACGCTTCGTGGTTCTTAAAGAGGGCGGTATCGCACGAGGGTGGCAACACAGCAGTGAAAACGCACCTCCCGCAATGGTGTCAGGATAAGCTGTTGGAGGAGGTAAACTTCGTCTCGTTTTGCTAGTTTGCTTTTTATCATCATGGTGATCATTAATACACATGTAGGGTTAATTCATTTTAAGTTTACGTAAATGGCAAATCGTTCTGATCCGCATCCAACTGCCCTAACCCAACACCGGCCCAATAATCATATCGAGAATTATCACAATAGCGATGGCAACAATAAGGGCGAGGACACTAATTTCAAATTTTGGAATTTTTTTGATCCCATTTCGGATTACAGTCTTGCATTTTCCAACAGCGTTCGCATCTTGTTCTCTAACTCGGTCGCCATGTTTAGTACATATTTGTCATGTTAATACATTTTAGAAAATCCAGATATATTCATTAGAATTTTAGATCCAATTGTCGAAAGCAATCGATGGCTTTTCTGGTTTCTATTTCCAGAGGCTGAGGATAATTTTGCCTCGCTTTATGATATGGAATCCAGTCCTGTCACAATGAAGCAAAATTCTTCCAACTTTGCCTTATCGGAGCCCTCTTCCTCTACGTGTAACCTATTAACCGGTTGTCCAGACTTTGACAAACTGCCATTTCCAGCATCAGAGGGCATCGACGGATTCCACAATCCGACACTTGGTAACTTGACCCAAGGTGGGGAGGAGGGTGCTTGGTGGATGCCTTTGTTTTCTGTTCTTTTCATCTCCCTTTTTCCTTGTTTGTTGATATTTTTTTTTGTTTCGGTGAAGCGGCTTTTCAATCAAAAATCGTCTTCTGCCGGCACATTGGAGACATTTCCAAGACTTTTGACACTGTCCATGCTAGCTTTTGCTGCAGGGGGGCTCCTAGGTGATTGCGTCCTCCATCTTTTCCCTGTAATTTTTTCTGTACATACGCCACATCACGACCATGGTTGCCATGTGCATGGATCGCTTAACATGACTTCGATTTCTTTTATTTTCGGAATTTTTTTTTTCTGGACCTTTGAATTGGCGGCTACATCAGCACCAAATCCACACAAACATAAACTATCCACTTCAAAGGATGAACCAGAAAAGCAAAAGAAGCGGTCCAGCCGATCCAAAAGTACTGTTAGACGAAGAACCATTGCTGAAGAGCCAACCCCAGAGACCGATTCCTCATCAACTACAGTGGCGGCATCTACATCTGAATCCGCAGAAGAAAATTACTCGAATCAGCCTGCTGCTACGGTGCATTCGAACCATGGCTTTGCTGTGGTTCATGTCTGTGCAGATCTTATTCATAATTTTACGGATGGTCTTGCCTTGGCTGCTGCATGGTCAACAGAGGCTGGCGGGGGCCGGGCATTAGGTCTTTCGACTACACTTGCCATTCTACTTCATGAAATACCTCATGAATTGGGCGATATTGCTGCGTTGATCCATTTGGCGGGGTGGTCTTTTCCCTCTGCTTTGAGAATGCAGCTGATAACCTCGGCTATTGGCTCTTTCGGAGGCTTGCTTTTTGGACTGCTGCTTTCCAAATTGAGTTCCACTTTTAATTTGACTTCAACCATCCTCCCGGCGATTCTGCCATTTTCGGCCGGTGGGTTCATATACCTGTCACTTGCAATCATATTTCCTCAATTAAAAGCAGAGTGTGCATTGTTTACCAGAAAACGAGATGTATTATTGATTGCCTTTTTCGCACTCTCCGGGGTTTTTCTACTGGCTCTCGTGTAAAAGGTATGGAAATTAAATTTGAATTTTTGAACTGCCACAGTGTTAAATAAACAAATCATGTCTATAACACAGGGGTTGATGGATGGGGAGGAGCGGTTCCAAGCCTATTGAGGATTCAGTGTATCGAGTGTATGTATGGTGTAATATTATTATAGGGTCCAAATCAGCGCACAAAGCAGATATGCTCGTAGGAAAGATGCACGAACAGAGTTCCGGTGGGCACATCTGCCAAGTGAATGGGAATGGTTCCCGTTTTGTTACCTTCGTAATATTTTAAGAAGGACAAATCTATCTCGGCTCTTCCAAGATACTCATTTTTAGAATACTTTCTGTAGTTGTACAACTGAATGGAGAGCATTTGATCGAGTGTGTCATAAATCTGGAGCTCAAAATCCTAGCAAGTGAGAACGGTAAATGGCATGGGTACCTCGTTCCAAACTGGACTAACTGTATTGGGAATGACCCTACTCTTCAGCACGCATTCATTCCACCTAACCACACAATATGGATGGCTTGTGATGCCTCGATCCACGGGGAGAAGCTCTGAAGCTCGTTCTATTTTGAGCCGGAGATTTCCAATGTGGACGAGCGATTGGGAGGATTGCGCCAGGGTATTGCTTGATTCTTGCAGTTCTTTGTTTTTAAAATTAAATATGGCCTCCGAGATCAAGTTTACCCACTGCCGGTGCTCAGATTCAGCGGCGGTTTTCAAGGTCACAATGGTGCCCTTTTGCTTTACAGAGGAGTCTTCCCCCGGTAGAAACAATGGAAAATTCGATTTGCTTCGTAAAGTAAACTTGCAATTCTATACGGGAACTATAAATGCCGATTGGAGAGAAAATTCTTACCGGGCTTTGAGAAAGAAGCTATAGAATTTCGAACGCGATCCACAAGTTTGGGCTCTCCAGCGGATGCATCGACCGTAATATCCAGCAAAGAGATCGGCTACATCAGTGAGATTGTGTTTTCAAAGCACGGTTACCTTATAGGCTAAAGAAAACTTGCTTTCTGGTGTCACGCGTTTAATGGATTCAGGCTCGAAATGCAGCAGAAGAATCAGGTCACTACACAAAACGCAGTAAATAGGTTCTTTACGAGAGGACGAACAATCCTCCAAAATTCCGTCCTTTATCCAGATCCTGGGTTCGCGATGTTTCGTTTCTGAGGGAAGATCGATAATCTCTTTATGAAACAGGGTCATACCATCAAAGGAGGGCATGGAATATGTATTAGGGCGCGTTGGAGATATCGAAAATGAGCGGGAAGATGACATTGAACTTTTTTTTCTCGATTTTTGCGGCAACAAAGTGGGCGATTTTAGCCGTCCATTTGTCAGCAAAATTTTGTTTCCACCCAATTGACTTTGTAGCTGCGAAAGTTTGAAGGAGTTTTCCTTTTTTTGAGCCGCCTCGTTTGCTCTGGACAGTATTAGCTCTATTTCAGTCAGCGCGGTGACAAGGACGGAGGTTCCTGACGTTAAAGGAAAATTTGAGTCAAAGGGATTTTCATCAAGTTTGATTTCGGAGAATGGGTTTGCCTTTTTCTCAACCTCTGGGCCCATCTCTGAAAATGGGTTGCATTCAGTGATAATAATTTGAGTTTCCAGCGAATTCAAGATCGAGGAAATATCTGCTTTTTTGAAGGAATCTCTTTTGGAGTTTTCGACCTTGGAATAATGAAGGATCTGTTTGATCAAAAGAGGATATCTCGTCAATCGCTGCATTGGTTCCAAAAAGAATGCGGAAAGGTCTAAGCCCCTGCATTCCGGATTTGAGGATGTAACTTTCTAATAATAACGATCACCAAAACATGGGGTACCCTTAAAAACAGGTCGAGGTCAAAATTGTAGGATCTGATTTCCTGCAGCCTGCGAAGGGCTAACATTTGGGATTCACAAAAAGAAACATAAATGTCCAATTGCTGGACCTAGAGCGGTCATAAAACCTACACTTACATGCTTTAAAAAAATGTTGCCCAATTCGCCAAGCGAGATCCCATGTGAGAATTGGATTTTGGAAAAGTCCAGCTCCTCATCCGCGTTATAGAAGATGTTTAGTGCTTGCAAGAAATGTCCCAAAATGGACTCATGTAAACAAATCAGCTGTGGAGTTTTCGAAAATATCAAATGCCAGTCGTGGTGGGAAAGAGAAGGGGGGTTACCCTGATCTTCAGAGATTATATGGAAGGGAGACATTGAAGACGGGCACAGCGGCTTTCCAAACAGATTTGAGACAAGTTTCAGGGACTTCACATACTTGTATTCAGTAACTATGAGCTCTTTTATTGCTTCAAAAACCTTGGAATCGACCGGAGGGTCCCCCATAAATTTGCAACAAAACAAAGTTTTTAAAATCAAATTTGTTTATTTGGAATTTTTAAAGCAATTTTTTTTCTCAAAAACGGTCCTGTCCTCAGGGTTGATAGGAGTAGCATTTTGCCTCCCCTTTTGAGGAAGATTTCACAAACCCCTTTTCGTATAGCCGTCCGAGAGCATCATTGATAACCGCTATTTCGGAGATGTATGAAAGCATGCATGGATGCTCTTTGCCGATTTTCTCTTTTAGCTCGCCGGGAGACTTTTCTGCAACCTCGTCAAATCGATGCAGCTTCAATATTTTCATTATGAGGCACTACAAGTAAAGGCTGGAGAGATAATTACCTCTATGACCAGCTTCTTATCTTCTGGGATATCAACTTTCAATCCGCTTTGTACAAGCTCATGACCTGGAGCAAAGACACCTTCTATTTGCTTCAAAGAATATGGCTCGAAAAATGAGAATATTGAAGCTGCATC